CAAATGGTAAGGACTTCAGAGAGGAAATCTCGGTAGAATTGATAATTCTAACGGATAGTTTCCAAGAGAACAGTTGGAATGGCATTGAACTACAAGTTGTCCCTTTAATTGATGATCATGTAGAAACATCATTTAAGCATAGGACAGTTAAGACTATTATAAGCAAGCTGAAATACACGAACTTTCAATTGAGCCGTACAACTCACCATTAAAGGTAAAATATGTATTATGTTGATGTGGACTCAATTACAACGTCTTTATTGCCTCGTTTATCGGAATGTTGGTCTGCATAGACACTAAATCGACACTTACCAGCAAATCTCCTCTTTTTATCGTGTGATCGTCAATTAACGTAATAAAGTCTTTGGACTTATTTACAGAAAACTTCCAAGTTTTGCAGATTTGCTTGAACTGAGTACATATGAATCATGATGTTGGGGCGTCTAAGATCTCGCTGGGGAAATGAATACATTTTACACTTTTCCTGCTCTCCACTGTTTACGCATTGTTGTAGAAGACCCTCAAGTCTGACTTTAAGGCCTTCTGTCAGGTCGCCTATTATAGTCATCTATGCTGTGTCATCATCTAATGCCTCTAACTTTTGCTCTACATAATCAGTCCTATCCGCAACTACTACTGCTCCTCCTGATACTAGTTTCTAAAGTGAAAATCATCCTTCGGCTTCAGGTGCGGCCGCAGCACGAATTTCTTCCAACTAACTTTCCCTTCCAAATAGAGAGTCATGCCACAATATTTCATAAATGAATTTTTCGAAACGAACACTTCTTCTTCCTACTAACAATCAATTTAAGTAGTATAATTAATTAAATATGCCCAGAAGGCAACCGGTGTAATTGTTTTATTCACCCATTCAGGCCGACTTGGAGGAGGCCGCGAACGAGGCGAAGCAAGCGGATGAACGCTCCAAAAAGGCGATTGCCGACAGCGCTCGAGTCTTCGAGGAGATCCGTCAAGAGCAAGAACACACGCAACACATCGAAAAGGCGCGAAAACAGTTGGAGCTACAGAACAAAGAGCTACAAGCTCGTCTGGAGGAGAGTGAATCGGGCGCCATGAAGGGCGGCAAGAAGGCGTTGGCCAAACTGGAGCAACGAGCGCGTGAGTTGGAGGGCGAGTTGGAGGCTGAGCAGCGCCGACACGCCGAGAGCCAGAAGAACCTGCGCAAAGTGGACCGTCGGCTGAAGGAGGTCTCTTTCCAGGTGAGCCCACAATTGCCTCCCTCCTGGGCTTCTCCTCCCTCCCAACTCTACTTCACATTCCTCTTTCCTCTTCCACGAATCTGGCCAAAGCGGATTTTCCATATACGATATGATATGCATTTCATATTCATACACCTCTACGCTTATCGAATGGATGGAATTGTAATATTCTGTAAAAAATGAGACCAATTCTAGTAAATTGCAGACAATTTAACAGCATAATCTTCACTCTTGCATGATCAAACAATGAATATGGCAATATACATAAAATCAACTTGAGAAACGTGTTATGATGACTTATATTTAGGCAGTCATACATACTATGCCCAAGGCAAAAAGTTCAAAACATGTTGAGATAGCATACCATATGTTTTAAAGAAGAATTAAAAAAAGAAGGATATCAACACTTTGCTAATCATATAGTTTGACTGTGAGCAACGCCTCTAATTCAGACGAAAAAGCGTAAACAAAATCTGAAAATTGTAGGATACATTTTACTTAATATTCTTTTTGCATACGTTGCCAAGGCCAGCTTCGTTAAGGCTCAATGAGAATGGTGTTTGTGAAGCGTTTTTTTAATAAATTGTTCTATAGACTCTAATGTTTGGTCATAAAATTAGATTATACAACCCAAACTATTGAGGCTGTGTAGCTGGTTTTAATATCTATTACACATACACACACACACACACAGACACACATACACACACCTATATATGTTTATAGATATAATATCATACTATTACAAAAATATGAAAAAATGTGTCATTATTGGTAATAAAATGAAAGTAGAAAGTATAAATGAAAAACTGTCGAGTCCATAGCCCCCTTCTTACTGACCCCCAACTCAGCAGCAGTT